AACGCTGACGTGGCGCTCACGTATTCTCGAGGCTATGCAGCACCGACAATCGGTTGCCTGACATGCATTGTTCTGGCCGCGCGTAAATACAGCAAGCAGAGACGTTGGTAGCTGAATCTGTAATTACGCGCCTTTGATATATGTACATAAGAATGGTGATCCGACTCGATCATAATCACATTCATGCTACTGAGAGTGCCTGCACTCTAATCTACAAAACATTTTAATCGCGATTGGAATTACATTCGTACTCCGTTCGAGGCCACGACAGGCCTAGTGGACTATGGCCTATATCAAAGCTTGCCTACTTAGTATTGCTGTACGTCCTCTCTTCGCATGCTCAATTGAATGTACTATAGATGTCGGAAATTTGACTGTGCGCAATCATACGCGGGTCATTCAATATCAATCTAGCCCGTGCATGACATGAGTGACCATTGTAGCAAGGTCAACATTGAACTTTGAAGGGCCCACAAATGCAATGATTTTGTGGTATTCATTAAGTTCTTCGATCACAGCCATGCGGCGCCGGGCCGGGAGTGGCCTTTTGCGGCCCGCCGGGCCGCCGCGCAGAATGGCGCAATCCAACCCTCGGTAGAAGGAATGTTTTACACAGGCAGCAGACCTTTGCATTGGACGTAGAACAAACGCTGTCCGCTAATCTAAAGAGTCCAGTCGGGCACTACTGTTGCCAGATCCAGCGGTCCAGATTGCAAGCGGTCCAAGTTCCACGCGCTTGCAACTTAGCTTTTACATACAACCGGTAATTTGCTACCTTTTTAATGCCACAGAATAAACATGGACTAGCGACGAACCTAGCGTTCTTAAAAACAGGCCGTCACATCAGGAAGTTTGAAACAAACTAATTATGCCTGAATCCCCTCTTGTTTCTCGATGTTTCTCATAAGCGGAGGGCTGAGAGCTTGAAAAGCCGTCGAAAGTCACCTCCTTGACTGTCCCGGGCGTCATGTCTATCAGCATTCCCCAGTCGAGCTGGGGTTGTGAGCCCCACTCTATTCTCACAGATTTGAAACCTAACTGAGCGACATGCTCGGCAAATACCCCCACCGTTCGATGCGGCACTAGACCTCTATAGCCAGGCCGGTAGTCAAGCAAGCCGCCAGGGTATTGCGACCACTTTCCGATCTCAATCGAGATGTTCTCGAGCCGAAGCTGCTCAATCTCATGTCCTGCAAAGACGAGCAAGCAATCTGCTGTTCCGTCTTCTTGTCTTCTTGTCTCGCAACAACGTGAGTGTCGAGACAGTCCCACTCTTTAGCAACATTGTTAAACAGCAGACCGGAAAAGTCCATATTACTATTTGAAAAGTGTTTTCCAGAAAGTCGTTCTGCAAGGGGTTTGGGAAATGTCAAGGTCCGTGCCCGGGAAGTACCGACTTCCCCGGCTCAGCATCTGCGGTGCACGTCAGATCGAGGTCACGCAAAAGATGAGAGGGCGAGAAAACGAGTCTGGCTGCCCGGCTTACGAAGGCAAAATCTGCAGCTTACAATATCGAAGACTTTCAAGTTACCAGAGCGCTTTCTCAGACAAGCACGTGCCCTGCAGACCTGGACCCTTTCTCTAACTGAAGCCCCAACAATCACAAGCCTGCGTCCTTCTTTTCCGTTCATCGCCTTTCCGGTCAGAGAACGAATCGTTCTGGGTTGAAACTGCATTTAGAAACCGGCTCTCCTGACTTACCAGGACACCCCGCGATGACGATCCCATTCTCCGACCGCGCCGTCACGTTGGTCACCGTCACGTTGCGCAGCGCTCCCCGCACCGTCGTCTCCCGCCGCGGCACGCTCGTGATGTAAATGGGCTCCGCGCGGCCCCACCAGGAGGGGTCGTAGTAGCGCGTCGAGATGCTGACGTTGACGAAGCTGACGTCAGAGACGTTTCCTGGAATGAAGTGACAGGTAGAATCAGGGCCAAATTCAAAACATTGAGGACAATTGAGCTGCACAAGTTTTTAAGAAGCTGTGGAAGAACAAAATTGCTTCAACCGGCTATTACGGAGGCAAAGAACGTCTGTTCGAGACCTCTGGTTCGAGGTGAGGAACACGTTCTTGCAGTAAATCATATGCATGTAAGTATACTTGAGGGAGCCAGAGAAACACCACTGTCTTGCCTCTGGTCGCCGATTGTCTTGCCCAACCAACTTTTTGCGGCGACTTCCGAGCACGAACATTCACGCTAAATCTGGCGCCAGAAGACTACGTGGTTGTACCGCCCCCTCTTAACCCCTCCAGAGCAATAAACGGATCTAGTCGCAAAGACGACACGCTCTGGAAACAAGTAGTGGTTCATGTTCAGAAGAATGAGGTTAAGCGGGACGAAGGATCAATTACCTGCGTCCCTTGCTTGGATGGCGATGCCCCGGTGCGACGCCACGATCGTCATGTTGACGAAGGACAGGTTCGCCATATCGTATCGAACTTCGCTGCCGATCTTCACTGCGCTCGACTTGCTCCGGATCCTGAGCGCACAGTGCATGTGCGTACATTTTAACTTCGGTGTGAAGCAGAGAGTAACAATTCGCATTTGACTCCCCTCGATGAAAGGTTGGATGCACCGTAGAGTGCGTTGGGGAGGATCAACCCAAGTCAGGGGAAAACGTCGAGAAAAGTGATTGCGGCACCAACAGCTTTGAAGACAGGACTGCAATTGAGGAGAGCTGATGTTTGACGGGCTCGATTAACAAGCAGCGCCAGCTGCGGATTGACAGTCAAACCAATCTTGCTGCTGTTTGGTTGGCACGCGCCATCTTCCAAAATCAGAAGTTTTTCCTTACACGATTGCTCGACGAACTCGCTGATCGAACGGCCCGAAACCATGTACCACACTTGATCAGCGCCTGAAAGATGAGTAGATTTCGAGCCCCTTCAAGATACAAAGCTCACCAGCAGTTCGAGGCCGATAGATTGAAGGTCGGCCCGGCTTTCGTCTTGGCACAGACGCCGTCGTCTCCCGTGCTGATGTGACACCCCTCCACGACCGTGTTGTTGCTCCCGTCGACGTCGATCGCATCGTTGTTGGGGATGTTGAAGTCGCCGTAGATGGTGACGTTGCGGACCGTCGTCGTGTCGCAGCGCACAATATGAAGGCTGCGATGCAAAGCTTATCTGATCTTCTTGACCCTTTCTTTCATGTGGAGGTGTTTCTTGTCGTTTCTACTTGTGGAAAGGCAACTTTGCTTGATTGCGTTTTCTTGATCAAGATTGTCTTCAAAGCTCTTTGTCAAAATTTCCGTCAAAGAGCAATTCGTTTTTTGATTATTCTCGACTGTGAGGACAAACAAGATTACCAGCACCAGATTACGAACGGGGCCAGCTTGGTGACTGGATGTAAGATGAGTACTTGGATGCGTGAAAGTCATCAAGCCAGAAGGGCCAGGAACGGATGTAAAAGAAGGAAGGGAATCATTGCCTTGACAAACAGACAATCCTGAAGAAAGACAATACGAAGACAGCTGACTCGATTCGCAACCAGGTACTAGGTCTTTGAGTCGACTTTTGAGAAAGGTTGGAATTCGTAGCAATTGCCAAATGCAAGAGTATCTCATAGGGGAAAAGGCGAAAGTATCTTATCAGAGAAAGGGATGAAATGGTGCAACACAAATCCTGCAGAAAACAACCGACGCATTCGACTATCTTGGAGATGCAAAACGCCCTCGCATTCCGGAGTGACTTGCGTAGAACCGAACGGTTGTCTAAGTCTACAATTTGGCTCATATTTGAACGAATACCAGTTTAGTAGGCTCGGTCTTAGCAGACACGAAAGGTAAGCTCACCACCAGAAGGCAGGCTCAGTCAAATGCACGTCCTTCACCGTCACATTTGCGCAGTCAATAAAGCCAACTAGGCGTGGCCGGCACTGCTCTTGGTCTTCTTCGTTGCAGTTGTCACTCCTCCGGTTCCAGCTCAGCATTACATTCTGAGAAACAAAGAAGGGCGATCGATTGAGCCATGGGGTTTCTTGAAAGATCTTAGCAGAACGATGACTTGTTTTGGACTCTAGATTTGTAAGCTGATGAAGGCTGATGATTCCTTGTTGCGTTCCTCACCGTCAAATGATATGCTCAACGCTTGATTGATGACGCCAGACCCAACGAGTCTCATTCTCCCAAAGTACCTTCTTGCTATCATTGTTTACCCTCACCTTCTCTTCCCTGTACTCCAGGACAAAGCTGTGCGCCTGGCCGTTGATCTCCCCAGGCCCCGTTATGGACACGTTGCTTGCATTCCTGGCGGCAATCACGTACCACAGCTCTCGCTCAGAGGGGTGGTAGTCCTCGCGCTGCGTGCCCCCCACTATGACAGCCTCCTCCTGCAGACATCAATAGTATCTTTTTAGCATGTTGAGACTTTCGTCAGTTTCCTGCAGTTGTTCGAAACGATTGCCCCTCTTTTGTGATTTTGGACATTTTTGGATTTGAGTTTGAAACTTCAAAATTTCTGCACTTCAAAACAGTAATAGGGGCTGTGGCCTTACAGGAAAGTCCTCGTCCACATGTGCAATAAGTTAAGTTGTTTCATCGAATGGAAGACCGTTCACTAAACATGAGGCAGATTGAGAGACAGATGAAGTCTTGATGGCACATAGACACACTTTCATTGCTTGCAGACTGCAATCTGGGGGGGTAATATGAGGAAGCTCCTGCTATACCACCAGACTCCAATCAATGAAGCATCTATGAGGTCTATATCCACATCGGTTGTAACGCCAGCCTTCAGAGAAGTAGAACGTTGTTAGCTTGAAGGCGCTGGTTCGTTCGCTACCATCCAACGTGTCGCTGGCTGGTATTCCGTCCATTACAACAGCTTCCAGCTGTAAGCATTAGAAATCGAGCACACAATTCTCGCTCAAGGTACATCAGGGTGCCTCCGCCACACGCACCTCAAGATGCAGCTCGATGTTGGACTTCAGCCACAGAGTGCCAGTCAAAATCTTCATTCCAGAGGGAATGACCAGCCGCCCCCCTCCGCTCTCGAAGCACGCATCGATTGCTGCTTGCATCGGTAGCGTATCGTAAGACTTCCCATTGCCAACCACCCCAAAATCTTCCACCGAGCAATCGGCACCACTCTTGAGCTGCTGAAAAGACTGACCAGAAAAGTGAGAAGCGGTGCAGACGATTTGAGCTGAGCTTAGCAATGCAAGAAGTGCTAAGACGACAGCCTGACTTGTGAACTGCATGGTTGTTGAAAGGAAGTTTGTGGAGGAGCAATGGGACTATTACAGGAGAATTGAGAGGAAAACTTAGAAAATGTCAACCTCTACTCTGATGACAATGTGCTCCCCCCACAACTTCCCCATGCAATTGGTCCTCCTGCATGCTGACATCTGCTTGATCTGCTCTTCTTGCATACTTAAATGCGTATTTTGTGTTGGTATATTCTGGGCCGGTGTTGAGGCCTTAATGAAAATGCATGGGGCTGACGTCGACTTTTTCGAAACACACCCAGAGGATAAGTTCCCAGCCAAAGTTCGATCAGCTGAGGGAATAAAATCGGCGATTATTTTGACCACGTATAACCTGGCATGTTGAAAGAAGCGAACGCACTGCAACCAAGGTGACCACAATTCAGGATTGTATTATTTGTGCAGCTGGGTTTTGTGAAAGCTGGGTTTGGGAGAAAGGTCGCTCGGCAAGGCCGCCTGTCCCAGGCCCTGTGTGTTTTCTTCTCGTAGAGCTTGCACTATAGCTGACGGTCGCACCTCTTGTAGACCTTGCGAACGTGTCGGCGAACACGTTGAACCAGTGCGCAGGAGAGTTTGGCTGGTGGCAGCTTGTACCACCACATCTACATACTTTTTGTGAGGGCAGAAGGTGAGTTCGCATTCTTTGGCCCTCATTCTGGTCCAGCCACTCTTCCAACTTTTCATAATGTCACGAAAGTTTTTGCAAGCGGATGGAGTCTTCTTCTGATTGATAAACTGATGTAGGCGCGGTGCAACATAAACATCCTCTCTGAGTCGCTCTCTTCCACGCCAGGTTGAAAGAGGAAGCAGTGCTCGGGCATCTGGCACTTGGAAAGAATCTCCAAATAATCATGATTGCATGTCAATCTCCAGCATAATCACAGCCACGTGACAGGCGCTTCTAGAAGTTTATGAGGAGGATCCAAAGATGGTGGTGCTTTTGCATTCTCTTATGCTTAGTCATGTGAGGCCACAATTCGTTCATCAGTGTGCCCTCCATATGGCAAGTGATGGACGGGGGCTAGAGGGTCTGACGCTCACATATGGTGGATCTGAACCACTGCAGCCAAACGAGGCAGTAAAATTATTAAAAAGTTGCTGAATGCAGGCTGCACGGGTTTGTAAACCACCACTCTTTGTCATCGTCAATGCCCTTCTCGAATTAGTAAGGACGCTTTGGCTGACATGCTGAAGGGAATGTTAATCTGGTGCAAAACTTGTTTCTGAACACCGATATAACATAGTCTCTGCTTCCTGAGGTCTATCAGATCACATGACTCTGATTGTGAGATCTGTATGGATCGTCGATGCCTCAAAACTTTGGGCGTTCCTTGTGGATCCATGATCAACTACTTCAATCTCAAGCGGGCTTGTCAGGAGGAAACTGTGCCTCTCATTCTAATTGCTTGACAAGTTGGACTGTTCAAGAGACAGCCCTGGTTCTTTAAGGAGCCCCTCCTTTTAACTGACATCCCGCTCTCGGACTTTTCTTGGCAGGTAATCCAAACAACAGTGTAGAACCCACACTCAATAGCTCCATCATTCAGTACGCTCCATGGCGGCAAGGGCCGCCTACCGGCACATCCTCCGCACAGTTGATTCTCACATCACAAGTGTGAATAACAACCAGCAATGGAAGGACCACATACGCACACTATTCCGCGCGGGCGCCTCTGAGCCCAACGCCACGGAGGCAGCCAAGAAGATCGAACTGGCAGAGGACTATGCGTTTCTGGTGGAGAGTGTGCGACTCCAGAAGGTGAGTGGGCTTTAGCCTACTGCACCGGTGGCAAGACGAGAAATGAAACATTCTTTCTTGATCTGGATGGCAAGGAGCAAGGTTCTTGTCAGGATTTGGAAATCCTGCCACACTTTGTCCCCTTTGAGCATGTTAGCGGACACGCGGGTGGATCTGGTCGCTTGCCGCCTAAACAAAAGATGCCCTCCTGACCGAAATCGGCTTCTGAAACGGTTCTCTGTGTCCTCCGTGGACTGGCTTCCTCTGGGCGTCTCACCGTTTCTATACGTACACATGACGTTCTTCAAGGAAATCCAGCTTCTCTCGTCCAGGTTCCTTTGTTGTGACGGCACGATCTGCGAGGTGTGGTTGTGCACTGTGGAAATGTTTTTTTGCGAAGTTTAAAATGCATCATCGCTCACATCCGTGTGAAAAATGTTCCTTCAATCTGCAGGATCTGCTGATGTCTTACAACATCAGCACCGCAAGGGACGACAAAAATCGGTTAGCTCAATCCGCAGCTAGGGTCGGGCTTCAGTTGCCAGACTTGACTCCCAGGCACACACCAGGTTGAGAAGCTTTTGCTAGAAGCTTATAGATTTCTTATTTGCTATGAAGCGAGATTAATTCACTACTTGCACGCTGGACCACATGGTAGGTCCTTAACCGACGGGTCTAACTTAGTCCAATCAGCAGAGGTCCGAATGTTTGTTGCTGACTCACACGCGCGCATGTGATGTAAGTGGGAGTTGGAACGTCGCATTTGTCGAATGCAAGGTCACTACTCTAGGAAAGGCAGCCTTCGCTCTGAAGAGTCAGCAATTCAATGCTTCAGGGCACCTATAATCGGCAGGCCGCATATAGGAACGCGGAGACAAACGACGGTGTCATATGGGGCCGCCAAATGAATTATTAGACGCTTCCGTCGAATCAGGCTATGCACGTATTACCTGTACGTGGCACTGACACTGACATACCGCCCATTGAAATTGCTTTCAGCGAAAATCGATCATCGAGATCAGAGACCACGTTCATTCAATCTAGCCGCCGCGCCGGTAGCTAACCTAGGCAGCACATGAGATCTCGGGCTTCATGCCTTAGCTAGGCGCGTTTGCGCGCAAGACCACATCACTCAACTGCTCGGTACACATGCCCTAGATCTGGCGGCCGACCAATGATCGCCAACATATACCTTTTTTCAAAGAGGGCTGAACTTATTGCACGAGCCTTCTGGCCCGATCCATACATGCAAGGATCAGACCAATTCCTGACGAGATTTTGCGACGGTCGCATCAAGCCTGCATCGACAGAAGCCTCCTCGCATCTGAGACCGTCACACGGTTGGCAGTGCTGTGTAGGAAGCGCGAGCTTCGGTCGGCTTATGATCTCTGCCTCCACCACTTCCTCAGCCGCTCTGCAACTTTCTCATAGATCGTTGTAGTAGTACTGTGGAGGTCGTCGACGCTTTGCGGGCGGTGTCGTCTTCATGTATTGGTCCATTCGAGCCAGTAGCTTGACACAGACGTACACAACAATGATGGCTATCAAAAGATAGAGCGCCCACAACGATGCGCGTACCAGCAGCTTCGCGTTGTCCTCCGAAAAGAGATTCTGCAACTAGGTGAGAAACATTACGGTCAGTACAGCGCGGTAAGGAACACTGCTTCAATACACTCTGGGAATTGAAATAGCCCAGAAGGTTCAGGCTTCCAGGGGGTCATCAGGTTTCCAAAGCAAGCAACGACTCCGAACTTCGACATAGACGATGCACAACGAGAAATTCAAAAGGTTTCTACGCTTTTGCTTGCTCCAGGCCCGTAGTATACACATCAGCTTTCTACCGCCCAACTCGATCTACTGTCGCAGAGCAGCCTTCCTGAGGTCAAAGCTTAAATCTAGCCAACGATATTGAACCGGTCACTCACCCGCTGTTCCTGCGCTTCATCCCGCCTCCGCCCCCTTTTCCGACCTCGCGGGCGCTCCTCTACCGCATTTCTCGGGGACTGCTCCTCTCGAGGCTCGTCGTTCACTTTCTTAGCCGCCGCTGCGTCCGCCGCTTTCTTCTGCTCCGCAAGTTTTCTGCATTCTTTGTCGCACGAGAGGAGCTCGAGCGTCTGGTTTCCGGACTTTGCCTGGGCTGCTCGGACGTCCGTACAGGGCCAATCCTTCTTTTGCCGGCGGCAAGGACACCGAACGTTTGTCTGCAATTGGAAAAGAGTGACCTTTTCTTCGGCGCGAATGTTTCTTTGGTGGATTCTGAAAGATTTGCACTCTCAAATCCACCTCTCCTCAAGCGCAGTCATTCATGAAGGCGGTCAATAGGGTTTTGAGAAAGTAGGGGGCTTTGATTGCAACGTTGTCCGGCAGATCCTAGGGAGAGTTTGTAGGGGTAGCGACCAGGAATACGACCTTTCGAAATCAACAAGAAACTTAAGAAGCGACACTACTAATGTTCGACCGAGACCCCCTGAACCAACCGGTTCCAACACCCCCGTAAGCTCGTAACAAATCTGAAAAACCTCCCGAAAACCCCAGATCCGAGTTTAACCGATTCTTACCTTCTTGCGGCACTGCTCCGGGTGTGGACACGCCCCCGCGTGACACACCTCCTGACACGTGTGCGCGCACAGCGGCAGCTTGCGGTCGCACTTGTTCCCGCACGAGAGCAGCTTCTCCCACTCCCCGGTTCCCCCCCTTTCCGCAGCCGCCAACTCTCGACACTCAATGGCTAAAGCAACCCCCGCCTCGCAATGACATTTTCGACGGATGAGTTTCGTACAGGGGGGGCAGGGGCCCGGGTGGCATCCCCGGGGGCAGGCGTGAATGCAGGGGGGGGTGGGCGGCTTGGAACATTTGCGCGCGCACTGCTCGCAAGGTTCCGGGGGGGGCATGTCGAGGGTATTCGCAGCAGCGGCCAGCCCCCCGTTTGGAGTGGTCGCGTCCTCTTCCGTTTCGTGGGGCAAAGCGCCATTGCCTTTGCCCCCCGGCCGCGAATCAAGGGAGTGCTCCTGCGAAGCCGACTCAGCACCGCCCGCATCAGCGACGTCACCTCCGCCGTTCTGAACGGACGCTGACGTCATCACAACGTGGCACACCTTCTCGCACGTGTGGTTCCCGCACGCGAGCGCAGTCCCGCAGGGTTCGCCGCAAGAGAACGGCGCCGCGGCGCTGCAGGCGACCAGCTTGTGTGAATGCGCCCCGAGGCAGGGGATGGACACCGGCTCCTGGCAAGGTGGGCAGGGGGATCCCTCCGGGGACTTCTCTTGCTCGAGGACTTTCTTTTGCTTCTTGGTGTGGCGGAGGGCGTAGACTGGGCCAGGCGGAGGGTGCGGCCCGTGGCACCTGCAAAACGTGACGGGTATGTGCTCTGTAAACTTATGTTCACCAGAGAGCGCTTCCAAAAAGAAGATCCAAAAGCTCTCAACAGAGAAGGGGTTGAAGAAATGGTTTGTCTTTACGGTAGCAAGACGTGATGCAAAGAGCGGTCCGTCCAAACCCTCTCCGCACGCGTCCCTTGCGGCCATATTATGGAACGTCAAAATAAAGCTTTGAAGACCAAATGATCGTCTCTGCAAAGAAATGAAGTAATGCTTCAATCCAAGGGATTGATTGGGCGATAAGTATCAACCATATTCACTTCACAATCGGACGCTTCAAACCACCCGGTCTGACGATACCACCGCTTGGAGCTACCTAGTCTACGGAAACGGACGCCGTAATCCGATCGCGGAAAGTGATTGAACACCTCGGGTTTGAGTTCTAAACGTTATCATTTGGGTTGCAAAAGCGCCGTCCAGCTATCCCGTCGCTTACCTCTTTGGGCACGCGTGTCCGCAGCCCAGGTCTTCCTGGCAGACCATGTTGCACGGCGGACAATTGCCGTAGTGGCACCGGTGAAGCGGCACTTCGGCGGAGTGACGGCAGCGGCGGGGAATGGGGCACGGTTTGCTGCACCGGGGGGGCTTCACTTGGCTCTCCGTTCCGCAGGGGACCTAGGGACAACAGACCGGGGTTTGAGGCGGGGCGGGCCTTCAACACCGAAAGTTGAGCAGACAGGAGCAGAGAAGTGAGTTTGTAAGATTGCATGACATTGAACTGACAGAAAGCAAGTTGGGAAAAAGCGAGGCGACGGAAGCGACGATAAGGCCACCGTTTGCCTCACTTGGCCCTCCGTTCCGCAGGGGACCATGGACAACAGACGGGAGGTTAGGTGGAGCGGGGTTTCAACTACACTCAACACAAACCAGGTCGGAAAATAGTGACGAAGCGACGAGGCAAGAACGAAGCAACGATGCGGCGCGCTTTCACGTACCGGGAAGGCTATACCTTTGCCTCGATTCTGCACCGCAACTAGAAATCCTAGCCCCGGGTTGGACTAGAAGAACCAGCTATAAGGATACCCAAAGACGGGCAGCGGCGCAATCCGGGTCTGATGAGCAGAAGGACGGTATTGCGAGAAAATGCGGGGAAGGACAAACGGAAGTATGGGACGGTGATAAGGACAGACGGAAGGCCTCGGCAGCTCAAGAGTATGTTTGCAGCTGTGAAGCCACCCGACCAAGGTGCCATACACCGAGAACTCGCTGAGTTGAAAAAATTGACCACCAATGGCTAGAAATGCAAAGTGAAAGGCATTAGAAGTTTTTGGACGAATTGGAAAGTTGAGCGACTTGAGCGAGTTGCAGAGCCTTCCCTTTATTTTCAGACACGGCGCATTTTGGTGTATATTTTTCAAATCGTTCTGACTTACGCCGTATTTTAACACTTTATGGCTTTGAAGGGCGTCCATTTAGAAAAGACTTACATTACATCTTTTTGAAGCACTCACCGTGATCGTAGTCTCCCCACACGATACGCCATTCGCACGGTGACCGGGCACGGCGCGCAAGACCCCTCATGGCACGGCGCGGGGCACTTGTGGTTACCGCACCGCAGGCAGCTCAATCCAGCCTCTACGGTTTCATGATTCCAGGGTTACTTTCAGGACAAGAACGAAAGAAGTGGACTTTCAACCCGAAGTTCTCACCGTGATTGTTGTTCCCCCGCATGCGCACGCAATCGGCACGGTCACCGGGCATGGCGCGCACGGTCCCTCGTGGCACGGTGCGGGGCACTTGTGGTTGCCACACCGCAGGCGGCGGCCGCACGCCTCGGGGCAGGGCGGGCAGTCCCCGTCGCAACAGCGCCGCTTGCAGGCATGACGCCCGCATGCCCGCTGACGTTGACACCGGCGCTCGCACTGGAGCTCTTGGAAGCAGGGTACCTTGAGCAAGGAGGAAAAGGAAGACCTTCTGATGTATGACCTCAATGGTGTAAACCTAAAGGAAAGTAGCGGCATTCGCAATCTGCTGCTTGACTAAACAAATGAGAGTCTGCTCGAGAATCCACGAAGTTCAGGATCTCGTCCTTGTCCATGCCGGCGAGAAACTGCTTCCTAGCAGATGCAAAACGGTCATGGGGTTTGGGGCCTGCTGCAATCAAGGCAAAACTCTGAACGTCCCAAATCTGGAGGAGTTCTGCGCACCTGTTTCCGGAGGCTGCCGCAGCGGCAGGCCTTGTCGGTCATGACGCGGCACGTCTCGACACAAGGGCCCACGTGGCAGCGCTCAGGGCACGCGTGGCGGCCGCATGCGAGGAGCTTCTCACACGTGGCACCGCACGTGGGAGTCGGGACGTCGCACGGGAGCTCTCCTAGCTCAGTCTTGCCGCACGGGCATACGCGCACGCCTGGCAAAGAAATAACAATAGGTTTCAGATTTAAGTCTTGAACTTGGGGCCCTATGGAAAGTTCTTGGCGCTGAAATTTTAAGAACTGGAAGGGTGGGGTAGAAGAGGTTGAGGAACGCAGGTTGCATGGCCGTAACGCTGAAGGCGACTAAAGAACGACGTCCTAGGATACTCACGCTGAAGCAGAAGTTACCCGCGATGATCTGGCTCCCAAGATCGATTTAGGGCGAGACGTGTTGCTGTCTCGGTCGGAGACAGCAACACGAAGCGCAACCCTCGGTTGCGCTTGATCAAGTAACCGAAGGACTGGCTCACTCCAGGGCGAAGGACTAGATTGAGACTACGGCAGAGTTTCATTCGACAAAGGTTGAACGATGAATTAGAAGCAGAACTGATTCTGCGGGCAATCCCCGCAGTGTCCCATGACAGAAACGTTCCCGTTCGCCGTTCTTTCATTCATAAAGTACACAGCTAAAGATTCAGCAGAAGACGTGACGCGTCCACAACCAATATACTTGGGCAAAAGAGCAACCGAAACTCCATATAACCAATTTACTTGGGCAAAAGAGCAACCGAAACTCCATACCTGAAAGTGGACAGTCTCCGCACTTCCCGCCATGGCAGAGCCGCTCGCAGGCGTGCCTCCCACACGCAAGCCGCCGACCACACTTCTTCCCGCAGGAGAAGTCGCGCTGCGCGCAGGTCCGTGTTTCTGCCGCTTTTCTGCAGCGGCACGGAAAGACGCCGGCCTCCGGGCACGGGGGACATTCACCCGGGTGGCAGGGCTGGGGAACATCGGAGGTGTGAATTAGCAAGGTCTGGCACGGGTGGGTTGCAGGGGGGATGATTATCTTCGAGGATCCTGCTGAAATTCAAACCCCATTGATTATTTCAACCGGGTGCGCAAACCATCAAAGGGCGTCGGACTTTCCCCCATCATAAAAGATGCGGAGTCGTCGAATCTTCCAACGGGACAGTTCTGGCCTCCACGAGGACCAAAGGTTCCGAAAACAAACGTTGTCTCAGAAGCGGACCAAGCAGATCCACCTGATTTCGTAGAGTTCCCACGCCCTTCGCATTCTTACTCTCCTCTTCTCAATTGGAAAGGAGTCCCTTACAAAATCAGGCGGCCTTCCCAAATCCCAAACAGGAATATCTGAACCTCTCCTCATTAACCATCTTTGATCCTCAAGTCCTCCCCAAGAGCTCAAGCCCGCAACCTTTATGCACATCCTCTATCAACTATCAAGCCTAAAAACCCTTGCCGACTTTGAAAGCCCCCAAAAGCCCCTAGAATGCCGATGCCCGCACCTGCTTGCACGAGTGCTTCCCACACGCCAGCTTTCGCCCGCACATCCCTCCGCACGCCCACTCCTGCCGGCCGCACCGCCGCACGTCCTCTCCCGCCCCGCAGAAACAGCGAGCCGTCACTAGTTGCGGGCACGGGGGGCAGGGGCCGGGATGGCAGAGCAAACGGCACGTGTGACCGCAATCTGACTCCAGGGGCCGACCGCAGGTTTCACCGCATGTGTGCGGGGGAAGCCACGGGTTGAAGGAGGGGTTGTGTTCCTTGCCGCAGAAGCAGCGGTATGCGGAGGGGATGTGAGAGGAGGGGTAGTCGTGACGGCACTGCAGGAACAGAGCGGGGGTTCTTCAGTGAAAGTGATGATCGATGCTGTTGGTGGGGGTTACTTCTTGTTTAGTCTGCTGATTCGCATCTTGGGCGAGACACAAAACGTGATGACACGAGTAATATTCAGGCCGAACAGGACCGCACATCATCAAAAAAACCATCTGAGGTGAACAAGATGGTGACCACAATTCTTTGATTCTGCGAAAAGTCACAAACACTCTCTCTCATAAGCCTCGCGCATCTGTCATAACTCTGCCGATGGCACCGATCGATCACTTATTTCAGACTGTCTCGCTTGCTATAAACACGGACGTCAGGTTGGCCAACCACTCATTCATCCAACCAGCTTCTCTATCAGCATCCGACAATTTCGCGCACTGACCTTGGGGCAGTGCCAGTTGGCATCCGCCTTTGGCTTTGGCACCACTGCAGGGGCGTTGGAAGGCAAGGGGTCGGAGGCGGTGTTCCGCAGGCCCACTGCAGCAATAGACTGGCGGGCCCATGACTGGATGCATAGGAGATGCATGATGGCATAGCAGCTGTCTTGGCAGTCCCATATGGGGTCCGTCGCTCGGATCTGCGGGTGTAGGAGAGCCACTTGTCAGAACCTAGGCAATAGGAAATGGTCCATTATAGCAAGTTGGTCTTGTCAACTTGCTATAATGACTTATTGACATAATAAACAGCTGCGCAAAGGAGACGGTAGACAAACGAAAGGTGTTTGATTGTTAAAACCCCCCAAGTTTTTAGAAGGTGGTGAGGGCCAATATCTGAACGGAAGGACAAGCTCGAGGACCTCATGGAGTCTTGACGATCATAGTGCTCAACTGCTGAAGTTTTTCAATGATTATGTCTCATATAACTGTAAGTAAAGCAGCAGCGCCCTAATAATTGAACGCACAAAGCAGGAAGGTCGCAAACAACTCTGAACGTTCTGGAATTTCAGGGTATGAAGGGGGTTTGTGGGGCTTTGTTCTGGCCTTGTTTAGCATTGCTTTTTGCAGTGCCCCTTGCTGAGCCAATCAGTTTCTTTGCCTTTCATAGTTTAGATTGTCTCTTCATCTCTCGAAAACATGAACACCGAATTCTTGAAAATCCTAATGAAACCAAAAGAATACGGCATGGCCGTATGATCGAAATACGATCACCCACCTTCTCCAAACAGATTAGACATCGAGCGGCGCCACTCTGCGCGCTGATCAAATGGTCCCGGATCTTCTCGATCCCAGCGTCCCCATCCGCCCCTTTCCCCAGCTCATAATCGCCAAAGATCGATGCCTCGAGCCTGCTGATATCAGGTCTCTCCTCATTGTTGTCCTCCTCATCACTGCTGCTGATGTCACCAAAGCGGCTGTTGATGTTATTCGTCTGAAAGGACGTTGGGGGCTTAGGAGAAAGCTTTGCCTCTGCCGGGCTGCTGGCGGAGGTCTGAGAAGACGCCAAATTTTGCTTCGTCGATTGGGCGGGCTTCCGGCCCCAGGGGTTGACACTCGCTGGCGCGAAGGTGCGCGCCTCGGCTCCCTGGTTGGAGGAGCTCCCGGCTCCGTGCCCTCCCGAAGGCTCCATGGTTTGACGCCCCCTTCCTCTCTTCAGCCAGTGCCAGCCAGGCAAAAGCTTCAAAGCTTGAGCTGCTTGAGCTGCAGGAACTTGACGAAGCAGCCAATGCTGACAACTAGGTATGTGCCAGTCTGAGAGAGTCTGCGCTCAGTGAGTGATAACGGTAAGGATGATGGATGGCGACAACGGTCTTGCGCGTTCCGCGCGTTCTGTTGAGCCAGCACCTGCAGCACTAGTTCGCTCCCGGAGTCCACTTTTGCTGCGATGCTGTGATGCGCGCGCGGTGATAATCACATCATCACCGATTAGGAGCGCGAGCTCGATGATTTGTGCGCGCGTTTCCGAGGGCTTCTGGACTATTAGAAGCCCGTTTCCTCGACTCAGCTTGTAAATAGGGAATAGGTAGATCCTTGTCGACTTGCGAGGTGTCGAGTGGGTGCAGCCTCAAATATAAATACTCAATAGTGAACACGCTCCTTCGTCTACTCAGATTAGCTATCGGTAGCATCCTACACTGAGCTAGAAGAGTATGCTTGACCAAGTGGGCTGCGCTGAAATAAAAAACTCTTTTTTTAAACATCCGATTTTCCTTTTTCAAGAAAACAGCGCTCCTAATTCTTTTGTTTTTCCTTTTGAGGCCAAATGGCATGATGCATTGCCGCCTTTGAGGTATATGACGCACAAGAAGGTCGACATCTTTGATCAGGATGATTACTGGCCACTAAGAAAGCAATCTTCATGCAACGAACAGGATGCCGAAGTTTGTCTTAGGCGCAGGTTAGAGACCCTGAATTCCAGTCGTCTAGGTTCTAATCAGAGGCCGAACTGATGGGAACAACTCATGTCGAGCTGCCTCGCCCCAGGGGCTGGCGAGGAATGCTGGGCTGTATCGATCTGTAGTGCCGTTTCAGGCGCCATGAGTGGCCCAGAAGACTCTTATGATTAAGCACCACCAGTCAGGTTACAGCAAGGAGACTTGCAAATGATTTCAAAACTTGGTAGAAAAGGCTGCAAGCGGTCTTGAAGCTCACCAGACAACGTGGAGAAACGAGCCCTGTTGTCTACGGTTCAGGTCCTATACACGTTTACAGCTCCCCATTGAGCTCCGTCCTTTCAGGCACACTGGTTGACATTCATTTGTACGAACTTTTAGCGCAGGCTTTTGATCTGCGTCAGGGGGGCCAGCAGGACTCGCGATGCAGACTTAGGTCTACAAAGGTAAACAAGGTAAACAAATTAACAAGGTAAACAGTCACAGCAGTCATAGCCATGGCGGCACCGTCACTGTTCCTGCGCCACGTGTTCGGCCTCAAGGGCTCCATACGCGACAACATCCACTTCATCGAGGACGTGACGGTGGTCTACCCGGCCGGGCGCAACGTCGTTGTCTACAACATTGAGCAAAAGACGCAGCGCTTCATTTCCGGGTCCCCTGAGAGCGATGGCATCTCCGCAATCGCAGTTAGTGCTAACCGCAAGCTAATCGCGGTTGCGGAGAAGCCGCTCGGGGCACGCGGGGGCACGGCAGCTCGAAGCACTCCCGATGGGGGCCATCAGCTGGATAAGACTGCGACCGAGAAGAGCATCGGGTTTGCGGAGAGCTCAAAGGGAGGGATGACGTCAGCGGGGAGCTTTGTGGATGGAGCAAAGGGGGCGGTAATTACACTGTACGACTCGACGACATTGAAGAAGAGGAAGGTGAGCGGGCAAGTCAGGCGTATAGGGGCAGCATTGCAATGAAGTACCTGTGGGGAGAGATGTGGGGCTGATATAGAAGTGTGAATGAAATGGAGAAATCGAGTGGGGTCATGTTGCTGACAAGAATTGGTGCTCGGTGCTTTCTTCTGCTCTAGAAGTGGCCAAATAAGCTTTCCCAGAGAGCTTCGTTGTGCTAAGCTTGGTAATGTGATACCAGTCACTCTAAAACTAACATCTGGTCGACATTCAAAAGATGAAAGAGGAAGGGCGATGCGGATCTACACGTTTCATGGTTGAATAATTGCAAAATGCGTTTGCGCTGGCAGTGTCATTGCCTCTGTTAGCTGCATGCACTGTCCAAAGCTGTGCAAACAGATATTGGTTCACTAGAAGCTCGGAATGAAGACGTCCTTGTCTCCAAATTATCACCACTCAGGTTTGTTTAAACGCCTTTGCTTGAGATGCCCTTTGTAAAAGGCATTCCTCGGCTCGACTAGACTATACACACTTGAGTAACACATTTGGTCCGAATATATGCTTTTCCTCTGCCAATGTTTGAAGAGATTATGCCAAGTCGATGCAGTCTTAAGTTAAGCCTGAAGTAATCAAACAACCCTTCTCTTTGCACTTCCAATTTTCTACAGACGCCCCACCAATCCAGTACACGAGCGTCACCTTCACTTCAAATTCTTCTCCTCTCGATGGTTTCTTACAGATGTGATTCATCCTGACAATACGCGTGCTTACTTTGTCCCCCAGCCATCTTAAACTGAAGACGAACCATGCTCATCGCAGACGCTTTCTCTTCCCGACATCCTTTCCGTCGAGCAAACCACATCGCTTGCAGTCCGATGGAGAACTCATCGCAGGATTATGAAATGTTTCTTCCGTGGTCTCTGAGGAGCGTGCTTCAAGCAAGAGGGGATATCGTTCTTTCTACGAATCGAACGCATCATTCTCATTGCAGTCTCTTCCCGACATCCCTTCCGTCGAGTACACTGCCATCGCCTTCAGTTCCGATGGGAAGCTCATCACTCAGAATGGAAGCTTCCCGCGGTGGGACCTAACATGCTTGCTTCAGGCGAACAGGAAATCGTCCTTTCTTGCGGAATAGAATCTAAACCAAAAAAACCATTCTCCCTGCAGACGTTGTCCCTTCCCGACATCCCTTCCGTCGAGTACACCAGCATCGCTTTCAGTTCCGATGGGAAGCTGATCGCGGCCCAGGGGGCGTGCCCCG